TACTTTCTCGGTAACTGCTCCGACAAGCTACTTTCGCTAATTTCCAGACAGCATGAATTTAAACGTGCAACTAGACTGACATCTCAGTCCCACCCATCACTGTCAAAACAGTTAAATGTAGCTGTCTCTTCTACTCCAATAGCTTCATGTCTCGTACCTCCCGTCCGTGGAATTCATTTCCTATTACTTGTTTCCCTGATAGCTATAATCTTCAACTATTCAAATGTAATGCCAGTCATCATCTCCAGATGCCCTGAACTATCCCCTGTCCTTCTCTTTATCCTTTCCTCTATCACGTCTCTTTACTCTCGCTTCCACTCTCTGTAACCCCTTGAGTGCTAATCACACCCCGTCTTGCTTGGGGTGAAATGCTTTAAAAAATTACTCTTTTAAATGGACTTCCTGCCGACAATATTTTCTTTTTATTTCCTTGAGGAAATCGTCCAATATTCGCTGCCGTAAAGAAGGACAGATGTCACGTAACAGTTCAGTACTTTTTAGTGTTCCTTTTTTTGGATTATTTTCCATCAGTGTGTTGTTTCAAAGAGATCCCGAGTAATCTCCCTTTCCCAGCACGCGTCTACGCATGTTACACGATCTTCTTGTTTTCAATCTCTTTTTTTTTTATTTCCTTCATTACCATGTCCAATATTCTTGATTCCTAATGCAGGAATGTGACCTACTTTTGTTTTGTTTTGTTTTTTCTTTCCCCGGCTATATACATCGGCGCCATTTATTTTTTTTTTCACGTGTGTTGTTCATTCCGAGCGCCACATATCAGAGATTCACCAGACATTTATCTCTCGTTACTTACTTATATCCACCATGATTATCTTCTATATAGTTGCCTGCATTGTTTTCCATTTGAAACAGATCGTTCACGCCTCCGAACATGAAACTCGATCAGGCACTCGAATTTAGTGGCTGGAGAAGCAGACAGTCGTATCAGAGGTTCAGGTGTGTGTACATCTGTACGTTATTTTCAAAAAGTTCTTTATTTCTTAAGCGTAAAGAATCATTTACAACAATCATCTGAAAAGTTATTTTTTACGTCTTATCAACCCTTTGTTGGTCATTTAAAGCAGAAAGATATTTTGGATTGTATTTTTTTTTTTTTTTTGCGAGTGAATATTGCATATAACAATTTTTAAGACCAAAAAATAATTTTTCAAGACACAAGTCCCACTATTTAAGGCATGCCTGAAGAATGCGAAGAGACGGAACCGAATCACTTCCTAAGTTATTTGCCGTAGATTTGAATGTAATCAGAAAGAAAGTTCCACAAGCGAGAAGTGCGAAAAAAAGAAACTGGTAGCATAGAAAATACAGCTATATCTAACCAGTTCAACTGTAAAATAATGAGACCTTATCGCCAATCAGGCATTTTGCTTAAATTCATAAAGTCTCGGTACCATAGAGGAAAATTTCCTCACAACATTTACCATGAAAGGATTTAGAGAAAAGGCACAGGGAGGCAACTTTACAGGAAACTGATTGAAGCCGAGTTGGCAGATTAGTACCAATAAAATTGCTGATTTTTTTTTGGATTTTATCAAAGATCTCTAGATAGCAGGTTCACCAGACCATATCCGGCAGCAATATTCAAAACATGGACGAATGGTAGACTTATAGATATGTAATACAGGTCCGATTTATACTGGATTATAAATAAAAAATAATAGGTTTGTTATAGAGTCAGAATGGTCGGCAGAAGTGTGACTGGTACTAAAGTCAGAAACATAGACGCAGTTCTGGTTTACGTTAGAGTAAAAAACAAAAAAAGCAGAGCAAGTGTAAAAAAAACACGAAAGATTGAGCCTTTACGTACACAAATATTTTTTTATAAACTTATACTGCTTTCCTGTTTATCAGGCTCAAAGGAATATAGAGAAGCGTTGGTTGAGCTATTGGGCTGTTCAAATGTCGAAATCTAAAGAACTGTTCAAATGTCGAAATCTAAAGAACTGTTCAAATGTCGAAATCTAAAGAACTGTTCAAATGTCGAAATCTAAAGAACTGTTACATCTTAAATTCCTGATTTCGCTGGTTCCGAGACTCCATGAATTTAAGCGTTCAACTAGCTTGGCATCTCGCTCTCATCCTTTCACGGTCGAAACTGTTAAATGTTTGCCGTCTCTTCTACTCCAATAGCTTCATGTCTCGCACTTCTCACCTGTGGAACTCCCTCTCCTTTTCCTGTTTCCCTGATAGCTATAATCTCCAACTATTCAAATGTAATGTCAATCGACGTCTCCAGATGCCTTGATCTATCCTTATCCTTCTCTTCATCCTTTCCTCTATCACTCCTCTTTGATCTCGCTCCAACTTTCTGTAATCCTTGTGCGCTAGTGGTCTCCCGCCTTGTTTGGGGTGAAACGCTTAAAAAAATTTATCAGCATTCATGCGGACCAGTGCAACAGAGACATATACGTATCAGTCTCAAGACAAGCCCCAAACCAAATCATTAGTTATGTATATCTGTCGAAAGAATGAGTGTTAGGTGTGAATGCTGTCTGACTTTGGTACACACACACACACACACACACACACACACACACACACACACACACACACACACACACACACACACACAGAGATGGGGTGCGATCAATAAATTATCGTCTAAATTACGCAAAAATGAAAATAACACTGGTATCTCATTTTAACAGATATATATGCTAAAATTACACAAAAATACTAAAAGAGTAAATGCATTCAATAAAATAGTCATTGTCTTCAACCACGGCCTCCAGACGACTTCGAAATCTCCTGCAACTCTTCTGGACGGTCTCCTTGTTTAAGTTGTTGAATACTGCCATAAACTACGAAAAAATATATCGAAATACTAAAGAATATGTTTATTTTATAAAATCGCCATTAACTTCAACCACGCTTTCGAGACGACTTCGGAATCTCCTGCAACTCTTTTGAACGTTCTAGTTGGTGAATGCTGCCATAATCCTTGCCTTCAGTTCATTTTTGGTGTTGCAAGAAGTTTTGTTGGTCTCTTGCTCAACTGCACCCTACACATAATAATCAAGGGGGGTTGCCGTCTGGGGAGTTAGGTGGCCAGATGTAAAGGGTGATGTGGTCGCAGAAATTGTCTGACAGCTATGACTGGGTTCTCCTGCTTGTGTGGAATGGAGCAGAGTCCTGTTGCCAAACATAGGTCCTTCCAGCAGCCACCCTCTAGACCCAAGGCAGGACTACCTCTCAAAGCACTTGATATAGGCCTCCGTGTTGAGTCTGAGGCCCTTACCAACAAATTCGGGAGCTCTTTTCTTATCAGAACGATCAGGGTTGAGTTTTCCGAGTTGCCGTACCTTCGTAATCACCATTAGACTCATCCAACTCTCAGATTGACATCCAGACATTCTGAAATGTTCGTACTGGAGCTACCGGTGCGAATGCCAAGCAATACAGCATACTGTTTCCAAATTTCTGTCGCAGAGTCATGATGCTCTTTTTCTCGCAGACGGTACCCAACTCGTCTTACTACATTAGGTAGACGACAAAATCAAAAACAAACAACGCTCATGCGTGAAATTCAAAATATAAAATGGCGACAATTTATCCATAGCGCCCTGCGCGCGCGCGCGCACACACACACACACACACACACACACACACACACACACACACACACACACACACATATATATATATATATATATATAATTTAAATAAAAACAGACCACTTTAAGGTTCCATGCAATAAATTATTTCACCACAGCCCTTTTAAAGGACTGCGGGTCATCAGACTTTACTTCCAAAGGTTGAAACAAAAAATGAAAAGAAATTTACACATTTTTGACATTTTTAAATTATTTGCTCTGGATTAACATTGAGCTCTCTGGATTTTATCCTCCTTAGGTTTACCCATATGGATTACCTAATTTTTCATAAACTATATATATATATATATATATATATATATAGTATATTTACGCATCAAATGTTGTTTAAAGAAAACATTTTAAAAAAGAACAGACATTTTGTGCCGATTAATTTAATGATCGATTTCTTCAAATTACGAATAACCCTTTCTTAGGCAAGGAGGAAATTCTGTAAGAAATTGTCTGAAGTTCATTTCGGAAGAGAAAAGTACAGAAAATATGGTCCAAATTTTCGACTTTCTTAAGTAATCATCAAGGTAGGTTTTGAAAAGTCAACCATTAAAATTAATTGACAAAAATAACTGTTCTTTTTAATAATAACAATAACAATATATATATATATATATATATATTCTCATGTCCCATGCTCTACCCACAAAATAAAACCAATTTTTAACAATATCTATCTATTTATTTATCTATTTAACCTGGAAAACCCACTTCTAGTCAGAGTCAGACAAGCATCCACTAAACATGAGGATGATATTAAATCAATTCATACCAGGCAAGGCGATAATGCCACTAAGACACAAGGGAGGGGGCTACTGGGAGTGAAAAGGAATGACATGACTTTAGAAAGAACCTGAAACCCAATCCTAAACAGGAAACAAAGGATACACCTCTACTCCTGTTTACATAAGCACGATTAATCCATTCTCTTTTACACCAGACTTATTGACATGCCAACAACGAAATGTTCTTCTGAGGACTTCTAGTAACAGAACAGAGCACAGGGAGAAATAGATTCATGCCTCCCCTGAGGCTTGATAAGCGAATACAAGAAAATAAACAGAAATTACAAATGGATTTGCTGATTCCGGTTTTTTTTAGTCTGACTACTTTCGTTTCTTCGTACTTCCGTAATCATTCTGATGTTCGCCAATGTATGTCAAGTTTGACACAAGGCCATGATAATTGAGTATTTAGTGAGGAACGAACTCACTGCTAGTGATTTGCAAGATACCTTACACGAAAAATGGAAGATGCTCAGTTTGTTCCGCAGTTCACTCGAAATATTTTGGTCTCAGTCCAGTTTTGTGTTGAAAGCACCAAATAGCTCGAACGCTTTTATGATTTCTTTTTTGCTTTCCTATTTTACGTGAAATGCCTTCTCCAGTCACAATGAAAACATCCCAAGAATTCAGTTCACATGTTGCTTCTTTCTTTCTTTCTTTCTTTCTTTCTTTCTTTCTTTCTTTCTTTCTTGTTTGTATCAATGCTGTTATCTTTCTGCTTTCTGCTTTTAACTTGCCTCCTGCTTTTTTTTCGTGGGACTCGAAACACCGGGATTAACAGGGTCAGATTAATTAGTGGAATTAAGCAATTTTTAATCGGAAGAACGCTGAATCGAAGAGACAATCATTTCAGAGTCCCAGTCGCTGTAAGTAAAAATGCGGATATCCTAATTATAAACACACAGTGTCTCCCAATCCCGTTCAAATCCACGCGCTTTTCTTTTCATTCTCATCATCCCGATATGATCGTACTGCTAAAGGCTAAATGTTTGGAGATTATGTAAGGTAAGTTTTGTAGCGCCAGGCTTAGCTCTAAAATCAACGTTCGAATATCCTGTTTTTTTTTTTACTATGAATCCAGCACAAACCATGAAACCATGTACATGAAAACGCGTCCGCTCAAGTTTCAAATCGGCCGGAAATTTTGGAATAAAGAGGCAGAGTAATCTTTTAGTATTTTTTTCAAATAATTTTAATTTTCAGCAATGAAAGGCTTTCTCCTAGAATGTTTTCAACCTAAATTAAGTGGTGAAACAAAATTTCCAGAATATTTAATAAAAGAGGTGGTTGGAATATATCACTTGAGAATTCCAGTCGTTGTAAGTAAAAAACTCGTGAATGGGGATCATCAAAATTATAACCACACAATCTCTACCAATCTCGTTTATTTCCACGTAAGTTTTGTAGCGCCAGGCTTAACTCTAAAAGCAACGTTCGAATATCCCGCCTTTTTTTTACTATGATTCCAACATAAACCTCTGATATGTACATGAAAACGCGTCCACTGAAATTTCAAATAGGCGAGAATTTTTGGAATAAAAGGGAGACTGTAAACTTTTAGTATTTTTTTAAAATAATTTTAATTTTCAGCAATGAAAGGCTTTCTCCTCGAATGTTTTCAACCTAAATTAAGGGGTGAAACAAAATTTCCAGAATACGTAATAAAAGGGATGATTGGAATATATCACTTGAGAATTCGTTTCTTTCCACGTAAGTTTTGTAGCGCCAGACTTAACTCTAAAAGCAACGTTCGAATATCCCGCCTTTTTTTCTTTACTATGTTTCCAACACAAATCTCTAATATGTACATGAAAACGTATCTCACTTAAGTTTCAAATTTTCGGCATTGTTGAAATAAAAGGGGGTGACCGTATTTTTTAAGTATTTTTACAAACTATTTCAGCAATGAAACTCTTTCTCATAAAATGCTTCCCGGCTAAATTAAGGGATGAAAGGAAATTTCCTGAATATTTAACAAAAGGCGTGATTGCAATAAAGAAATCTCCGGTGAATTTTACTCCGAAAAGGATATTCGTCCAGAATTATATATTTCAAACTATCGGGTTGAGTCATAAAGAATTTCCGTTTTCCTTAATCAAATTTATTCTTAAAATAAGGTACAATTATATTTTATCAGTGATATACTAGCCATTATTCTCAATGGCTTGTTGTCACTATTAGTCAACTCTTCGATATATATATATATATATATATATATATGCATACATATATATATATATATATATATATATATATATATATATATATAATTATGTAATTCATCAAGTCTAGACGAAACCTCAACAGAATGCAGAAAGCACTGGACGGTCGTTTCGTCCTATATTTGGGACTCATCAGAAGTGCGCATCCACTACAGAGAATTGAAACCCGGAGAGTTACGTTATCAGAGAAACGTCATACCAATTGTACCAATGGGCCTCGGTGATGAAGAGGTAGGTACTGACTTGATTCAACGTTGCTTAAGTTCTCATTCTGAGCCCTTATCCATTACACCACTCGCACATCCAGCTTACAGCACCCTGGTATTCGTAAGCGGTTACCCATTTAGGTACTGACTTGATTCAACGTTGCTTAAGTTCTCATTCTGAGCCCTTATCCATTACACCACTCGCACATCCAGCTTACAGCACCCTGGTATTAGTAAGCGGTCACCCATTTAGGTACTGACTTGATTCAACGTTGATTAAGTTCTCATTCTGAGCCCTTATCCATTACACCACTCGCACATCCAGCTTACAGCACCCTGGTATTCGTAAGCGGTTACCCATTTAGGTACTGACTTGATTCAACGTTGCTTAAGTTCTCATTCTGAGCCCTTATCCATTACACCACACGCACATCCAGCTTACAGCACCTGGTAGTCCCAAGCGGTCACCCATTTAGGTACTGACCTGGCATGACGTTGCTTAATTTCAGTGATCGGACACGAACCTGTGTTTCAACTTGATATGACCATAAACCGTCCGTGATCCAGTGATCGAAATGCTCAAGGTGACTGGTAATAATTTCAGTTGCAGGTTTTATGCCAGAGTTTTCCTCTTTTAGACTGGTTCCTTTTGCTAGGCTTTAGCGTCTAATCTACCTTGATCTGTTGTGCCCAGTTACGGGGACCAATAGCATAGCGTAGGTTTATATAAGAGATTCCCTCCCTTTTAGACTTATTACCTTCACCACCGTTAAGTAGTCCTATCTGGCCCGTAAAAAGAATACTTAGATACATACGTATATATAGTTTGCAGCTCAAGAAAGCAAAAACCTAGCAGACAGACGGGCATGAATAAATACAAACACGAAAGCCAGTAACAACAGTTTAAAAACAATCTTAATATACACAATCAGCGAGACACTAAACAATAAACTCGCCACGAGTGTGATCGCCTTAAATGTCCTTTGATAAGGTGAGACATAAGAGTTTCCTACTCTCCAGCTATAGGATCCCTGGATCTTCACATTCCTACCCGGTCTTTTGAACAGGAATAGAAGTTTTTTTTCACCCTTGTTTCCTGTTTAGGATTTATTTTTCGGTTCTTTCTAAATCCTTTTCCTTGTGTAACCTTCTACATCGAGTGGCTCTTGGGCCTTTTACAGGGTGAATATCATTGTAAAAAAAAAGGGTTTTCTCAATTTTCAAGTCATTTCTGATAGGTAGGCTTATGAAGGTCGTTTACGATTAATGTTCCCATATCCTCTCTTCTCTCCGTCCTGGGTTTGACGATAAACTGCATCGGCGTCTTGGGTAAGACGATAAACTACGCCCAACAGCAAGGCCTCTGATCAGGAGGATTTGAGGAGTGTGATACCACCTCTTAATTGCTGGTGTTCCCAGGTCCACCCTGACCCGGGGTTAGGGTCCTAGGTTTGGGCAAATAGTTGACCTCACAACGTGACTCAAAAGACTATGAAAGTGTAAAAATAGATTTTAATACCAGAAATACTTGCAAAAAATTAGTATCAGCAATAAATATTTGGAAAAAGAAAATATTACCAGAAATAAAAATCTTGTCAGCATTAAATAACCCATTGAGGTTAATATAGCACAAAACAAAACAAAACAAACTATACATTTAAAAAAAAAAAATTACCAGTTATGCATTTCTGAAAAACTTACCAGCTATACATTTTTGAAAAAAAGGGAAATTTTGTCGGCATTAAATAACCATTGTAGTTGATATGCCGTATAACAAACCAAACCAAACCAAACTAAACCTCTCTTCTCTGTTTTACTCTATTTCGGCTTTATATTAATGACCTACGGTAATAGTCCTCCTAAAAAAAAACCCAGATGACCAAAAGCTGATCTCTTCTCTGACCTAGCTCTAACTGTTCAATGAGACAAGGACTAGATAGTAACATTCAATATTTTAAAGACCAAGCTAGTAACATTCCACCATCACCGTGAAGACCCTAAATCTGAACTTTCAACTACCATGACGAATGGTTGTTCTCTCAAGGATGCTCCTTGTCTTGAACCCCTAGCCGGACTCTAGCTCATCTCCGACCTCAAATGGAACATATATACGATCAATCACTAAAGATACTGAAAAAATGGTTGGTTACCTGTACCGCTCTAGTAATTACCTGACTCCCCTTACTATGCTATATCTTTAAAAGAGCCAGATCAGACAGACCCAAAATAGAATATTGCTGCCATATCTAGGCTGCACACTTTCCACTTTTCATATAGTTCTAAACCCTTCTTCACGCGGCTTTGTGGATGATGAATTAAAACCGCTCTACAACGCAAGCCTCTTGCTACTCTAACGCTATGCCTACGACAAAGATTCTGACGAGCCACATTCGTTCGTTCGATAAGTTCGGACATTCGTAGACACCATGACACGTACATATAGACAAATCATCTTCATTCCCTACTTATTCCATTACTGAAGAGAAAGTTTCTACTTGGACAGCTTCTTTCCAAGAACAGCTACTTTTTGGAACAGGCTCCCGAGGGGATACTTCCTCGGCCGCTACAATATCTTCAAGTCTAGGGTTAATCATTGTCTATCCTATAGAATCTCATAAACTGCTCGTTTTACCCCCCTCTTAGGCACATTTTATAAGGCTCGGGGCCACTCGAGGTAGAGAGTTACGTTAGGAGGTAATTTGTGCAGATAGAGGTGGAAGATAACGGTTAAACAGACTGTAGTGATCAGGGAAACATCCTCTTCGTAGTCGGTTCCACGGAGTAGTGGCTCGCGAGAAGCTGTTCGAGTGGAACTTAGTTTTTCACCGATAGAATGCGGCCAGTTGTCCATTCAGTAATCCTCTACCTTGAGTTACTCTTGGGCCTTGTACTGAGTAAAGATTTAGTAAAAAGTATGCATTGCAATGGAAAAGATATATGTATACATTCAGTAGAGTGCTATTCACCTGAGCAAAAGTATTTTTACCCAAATGATAACAGAACAGTCTTTGTCTCGTGCTGGAGAAACGTCAATGTGGCACGAACTTAATTCTCTCGCAGGGTGGACGTTTAGAAATAAAGTATTTTTAGATGGAGTGGGCGTTAAGAAAGTATTTCCTAATCAGTTTTTCCTCTTTTAAACTATTTCTGATTGTTTTCGTTATCTATAGATCACAAGAATGCCGCAGACATTAATGACGGAGAGAAAGTATCCACTGCCCACAAAGAAGTCAAACTTTTACTTTAAGTGGGAATCGACTGACGGGGAATATTGCGTGGGTATGTCCATATATGTGCGTGCTGGTAGTTTAAGGGCTAACGGCTCAGAACTAGAAAACGGCAAACCGAGTTCGAATTTCGCTCGTGGTCGTTACATTCACTTACACACAAATACCCCTGGAAAAGGTAAGAGTCCATTATTTCTCCTACCAACTATGGGTTAAATAGTAGGACAGGCGGGAATCTATAGCCAGGCACTTCTGAATTCAAAACTTGTCTTCTGACATGGGGAGCAGATGTCTGTAAACCAAAACACGTTAGATAATCCATTGAGTATTTAGAATTCTGTTACACACACACACACACACACACACACACACACACACACACACACACACACACATATATATATATATATATATAATGCCTCTAAAGGAACTGAGTTCCTGATCAAACCAAACCCATAAATAATTACATTGGTCATACTACTAGACGACTTACGTTATACCTACCCGACCTTAGTTCAATTAGGATTCATTTAAACACACACAAAAATCCACCCGAAATATACTAGTAGAAAATACAAGTATAAAAGCCTCATCCACATGTAGAAAAAGATTAAAAATAAAGAAAGTCCTAATAATTAAAAAGGAAAAGCTAACACTCAATAACATTAACTACGAACACGGCCGCAATATGCTGACCGGGTTCGGAAAATAGAACAATCCTATAACTTTAGACCCATACATAAAACCCCCACATATTTAGTTAAAAATAAAAATAAAAATCGCCCTTGATACTGGCTGTTGTAACCTAGGGAAGGTTGCTGAATAGAATAATGACACGGAGGTTGGTAATGAACGATAATACTTAGGACAAGAACAATACATATAAGATTCGCCAGCGGCCCGTAGAAGAAATAGTCAACTGTGCTAGAAGTGAGTCAAGTGAATTCCACAATGAACCTCCGACTGCAGGATATCTACCAACCACCCCACGCGGTCAGATGTGGCACAAGGCCGAATTTAATGTGGGGTTCCAAGCCCCTAGGCTCGGCCAAAAATTTCCCGTAGACCCGTATAAAATGGGGTCGGGTAGCTGTTTTCCCGAAATGAGATACTGCCCTTCGACATAGCCTCGTTTGGGGATCCTCTCTGCACAGCTGGAGACAAATCTCCAACTGGAGACCAACATACAGTATTTACTACTGTATTTATGTGATTGGGTACATTATCGACTGTAGGTATGCTACAACTGATACACAACACACAAATTATACACACGAACGCTCCTTGACGTGACAGATATACGTGAGGTTTCATTAACCAATGAAAAACTAATAGCTCAAAATAAAACTACCAAAGTTTTCTGTTCTCGATGAAGCTTAAATAAAAGCGACATATGTTAGATTTATATACGTTTCCTATCCTATATATATATATATAACGTCATCCACAGACAGACTGGTTCGCAGCTCATCAGTGTGGATAGACATCCGGTTACCTCTAGCTAGGATCGAAACCCGACTGAATTGGTGTCAGTCGGAGATTCTAACCAGTAAGCCGTCGGCGCACGATAGGACGAAAGTGGATTTTTAGCGTATTTATTTTTAGAAACACGCCCAGTGACCGACAGTGACTCGCTATATAGCTATAATAGTCACTGTTTACCAACCCACACCTCGTCCCCAGAGAGCTCAACTGAAATTGATATTTCAGGAGCCAATATAACATATATATATATACGAAGTTGTTGGTCCGAAGAACCTCAAACCAGCAAACGGATATTTAATACACACACACACACACACACACACACACACACACACACACACACACACACACACACATATATATATATATATATATATATATGACCTTGAGGTGCGGATTCGAATGTTGCCATTTTCGATTTCTCACTTTTTTATGTTATCTGTCTGGGGAGACGAGACCTTTGAAAAGGGCTTACAAATCTCATCATTGGTTGACTCAAACCTTGTGAAGCAAATTTTTTGAAAGCTGTCGATGGTCGTTCCAGCACGAAATCATATATCGACGTGACCGAGGGATTGTCTAGCCACACCAGCAGACGGTTGTACTCGGAAAGAGTGTGAAGCCATTATATATATATATATACTGAACCATCTATATCGTTCTGTCAATAGACTTCGTGCTATGTAATTGTGCTCACTTATTCCACCAGGTTTTGCAGGTGTTTGTTGGAACGGCTCTGCGATATTTACGCTGGCCGAAAAAATTCGAGCATCTTCTTTCGTTCGGAAACATATTTTTTGACGAGCTGGCGCGTGTTTTACAAGGCCAGTCCAGGGACGGTTAAAGATGATAAGAGTTCGCAGTTACCATTTATCAGGAAATATAGGGAAAAAATTGTTAATCAATCCATGAGGATAGTTCTCGAACACACCACCATCTCTCTCACATGATTAGAATTAGATGTGGACTTGTCCCGGAGATCCTAATGCTGGAACTCTCTAAACATCCAACTAAATCATAGCTCTATGGAGCCATCCTTAATATTTCTACAGTCCTACGCGAACTCAGAATGCGCTTTGTATGACATTCCTGGCGAGCAAAACAAGAACTCGTCAGTGATTTACTGTTTTGGGCGCCTAGCCATGGAGCAAGACGAGTTGGTCGGCCAACAACCATCCAGTTATGCCATGAGACAGATTGTCTTCCTAATGACCTTCCGACTTTGATGCAGGACCGTGGTGGTTGGTGTGATGGACCGAATATATATATATATATATATATATATATATATATATATATATATATATATATATATATATATGTGTGTGTGTGTGTGAAAAGTGTGTATATAAATACAAATAAATATATTTATATGTATATATAATTATTTATATATTATATGCGGTCAGTACTTATTAGAAAGCGCTCAATATCAGTGATAGAGCTAACATATTTGGTTGGATTGATGTGAGTTTTTGACCCAGGGTTTCACGCTTTGCGATCGTCAGACAAACTCTAGATAGGTTTGTCTGGCTCTTTATGTTTACTTACTTATATATATATATATATATATATATATATATATATATATATATATATATATATATATATATATATATATATATATATATATATATTAATATGTATAAGTAATAAGTAACTAAACCTAAAAAGCCAGACAATCCTACCTAGGTTTCACCTACGCGGATCTTCAGGAGGACTGGCTCGTGTCGGAGGTTTTGTTTCTTTGGACTCTGAACTTAGATTCTAGACGATTGTATTCGTCAGAAGTATAGGTTCTTAGTTCTTTTTTTTTCCCCCTTTTTTCCCCTTGGGTGTTAGTTTGTTCGTTTACAAGCTAAAACACCTAAGGTTTTGCCGGACGAGTATAGCTGCTTACATTTATAAATTTAGTAGTGTTATATATATATATATATATATATATATATATATATATATATATATTAACAGTTCCAGTCTATAACGTAACAGAACTGTAAGTTTATTTTTTTCTTTTTGTCTTTCTCCTCTTCTATTTTTCTTTTTATTCTCCTCTTCTATTCTTCATAGATTCTGTTCTTTATCCTTCTCTTATTCTCTTTTTTTCTTCTTTTTCATTTTTTCTTTTGCTCTTATTTTCTTCGTCTTTCTGCTTTTTGAATCTTTCTGTTCCTTTCTTCTTCTTCTTCTTCTTCTTCTTCTTCTTCTTCTTCTTCTTCTTCCATTTTGCTCTTCATCTTCTTTTTCTTATCTTTCTTCTATTCATTATTCCCTGCCTCTCTTCTTTTTTCTTCTTCTATTTCTTCCTTCTGTTCTCTCGTTATTTCGTCTTGCTACCATTATTAACCTTCTAACCCTCAATCTCTTCTACTTCTCTATTTCATCTTTCTCTTTATCTTCTTTTTCTCCCCCTTCTTCTATTCATCATTCTCCACATCTCTCCTTCATATTCTTCTTCTTCTTCTTCTTCTTCTTCTTCTTCTTCAGGAGTCGAAATCTTAGACCGGCTTTGTAAAAAAAAAAAAAAATAATAATATGCGGGAGTCAAAATGAGGCTTTGCACAAGCAGGTACTTCTAAAACCATGCAATTATATTGAGAACCGACCGTCTGAGATGTTTAGAAAAATTAATGTAGGAGTAAAAATATAATTTGCAGTATATATATATATATATATATATATATATATATATATATATATATATATATATATATATATATATAAAATATGACAAATTGAAAAAGATTTTAGCACGCGTTTCATCCGTTAGGTTTTTCATAAGCGTGAGGTTTGTCGACGTTGCAACGTGTACGCATGCGCACGAAACGAGAGACCGGTAGTTTCAAAATTTTGAAAGAATATTTTTGAAAGAATATATATATATATATTTTCAATCTAGCCAACAAATTCATCTGCATTCTTTTTCTTTTTCTTTCCATCACTTTTGTTCCTGATTATCCCACACTGTGACAATATAAAATCTACCAAGAATGGTGATATATTGTAAGAGCGTGGACGCAAATTTATTGTGTCTGAATTCGCGATCAAGACACTTTCCAGACATTTTCTCTTTTAATTAAAGTAGCTTTCCCTATGTCAAATTTGTGGTCCGTTCAATAACCTATTTTAACGCGAAAACAAAAGGATCATAAAATATTCCCAAACAGAAAAGCTGTCCTTCTTGACGAACCCAACGAATGAAAAAAAAAAAAATTCTATCAGCTAACTCCAATTACAACCGAAAAGAATTTATCTAAACTCAACGTAAAATTTGTCACAACAACATCTAAACAACATCAAAGACTTAATCAATAAAAAACAAAACAACCAGGCAAAACTTGAAGGATGAAAGTTACTCTATCAAATGCAGGAGTTGCCAGAATGAATATATTGGAGAAACCTCAAGAAGTTTAAACGAGAGTCTATATGAACACAAAAGGGACATTTTAAATAATAACACATAAAACGCATTAGTTGTTCACCGTAACAAAACAGACCACAAATTTGACATAGGGAATGCTACTTTGATTAAAAGCGAAAATAATCCACTGTGACGAAAATGTCTGGAAAGTGATTTGATTTGATCCCTCATTCAGCCACAATAAATTTGCGTCCATGCGCTTTCAATATATCACCATTTTTGGTAGTTTTTGTATTGTCCCAGTGTGGGATAGTCAGGGACAAAGGTGACGGAGAGAGAAAAAATATTCTTTCAAAAATATATTTGAAGAGTATCTTTCTTCACGTGAGAGGAACGCTTCTTCAGTGCTAAACCATTAACGTTAATGATAGCTTACTTATGCAAACAATGCAGTCCATATGTTCTCAACAATGGTATTTTTGCGGGGAAGCTTTGGCGGGAAAGCTGATATTGCGAATAAAGTGGCTGTTAAGCAGAAGAAGCAAACACAAGTTTATCATTCTTATATCGTGTCCGTCAGTGAAAAGAATTAACGTCGAAAATTTCTTAACGTTGAAACAAACTAGCTACATAGTCACTCTCTTTGTTTTATATATATTTTTTCTATAAATTTATATAAGCTTTTTCAACGTTCGTTTTAAAAGGTATTAATTATAGATTTATACAAATCTGTTATTAATTATCGGTTTATATCTATAAACATTTTGGTGGACGCTGGGCATTAATAGCTTTAAATTTGGCTCAGCATGTCGTTAGGTCGCAAAACTGGGCTTATATTTGAAAGATCAACGTTACCAAATTTTGAAATGAGTTTTGCTTCTGATTCATAGCCCAAGTTAAACCAGTTTATCTTTAAAAGTAACTCCAAAGTTACAAAAAGCTAAATTTAAAATTTAGCAACGCAGAAAAACTTTGATAAGTTTCCCATTCTCGTAATCCTTTGTTGGACAAGTACTTTTATCTTGGGTGTTTTCATTACAATGTTTTTCAACTGATACTCTACATGTGCAATTAATTTAGACGCTTCACTTATCGTTTTGTTCCAAATTACGCAACGTCCATCCCGATGATATCCTAACGGATGAAACGCATCACAAAAACTTTTCCAGTTTGTCATATTTTTCTAAATAAATATTATCTATCTATCTATCTATCTATCTATCTATCTATCTATCTATGAATTACATAAAAATGAAATTCAATTGTACCCCACTTTTATGGCCATTTCGCTGCTCGGGATAAATTGTCTGGAGCGTGCCAGTATTAAAACGTTTTAGTATTGACAACCTCCAGGGAATTTATCCTGAGGAGCGAAATGGCCATAAAAATGGGGTACAATTGAATTTCATTTTTACTTAATTAATTTCTATTCTCTATAATAAATATGCTGAGCTCTCTTTTGCGGATCAATTTTAATGTTTTATATGAATAGGATTAATGTATATATATATATATATATATATATATATGAAAGTGAACATTGAAGTCAACACTCAGAGGCGACAGGCTGTTTCATGCTAGACGCAATCATCAGGCCTGACGATTGCGACTAGCATGAAATATATATATATATATATATATATATATATATATATATATATACTATAAATTATATTTTTATTCCTATATTAATTTTTCTAAACTTTTCAGGCGGTTGTTTCTAACTATAATTGCATGATTTTAGAAGTACCTGCTTATGCAAAGCCTCGTTTTGAATTCCGTATTTTTTTTTTTTACAAAACCGGACTAAGATTTCTACTACTGAGGTTGAATAAGATGAAGGAGAGAAGGAGAGAATAATGAATCAAAGAAGAAGGGGGAGAAAATGAAGATAAAGAAAAAATTAATGAGAAAAAAAACAAAAAAAAAAAAAAACAGATGAAATAGAGAAGTGAAAGAGATAGATGGTTATTATATTAGAGTTTAAGTTGATGTTATCTAACATTCAGGTACCAGTATTGTTGCATTTTTGAACTCAGAGTTTTCTTTTTCCTAGACTAGTTGCCGTCCAAGTCTGTTTACCCATAGAAAAGGTGGATTAATATCTTTCCCAAGAGGATTAGCGCGTAAGTGAATCTAATGGATTCAACTGGAATTCGAACTCAGCTCTCCGATTCTTCAATCCGAGCCGCTATCTATTACTCCACCGTCCCTCTTCAGTGAATTCCGGAACACTGTTCGAATTTCCGAATAAATTATGGCCGTGTTAATAGATGTTGCAGTTAAGGATTGTTTTGCTTTCCTTTTCTTTTTCAATAACAAGGACTTCCATTTTTGCGGTTATAGATGCGTTTAACATTTGTGTTCCCGAAAAGTATATTACTTACCGAGGTTGGTAGAGTTTCATGTTGCTGTACATCCGGAAATAAATATACGTCTACCATTCAGCAGCATATACACCGCTTACAATAGCACTTACACCCAAGAATAATTTCACCGCAAGTAATAAAAGCCAGTAGGATGCAAGGAGTTACTGAGAGCGAACGAAACAGAGTACAATAAAATAACAGATTCAATGAGACAGAAAATGATGATTAACGTTGCATTTAAATTTATGAAAATCGTAGAAGACACGAAAGAGGGAACCAGAAAGAGTTCCACAAGCAAGAAGTGCGATTGAAGAAACTTCTAGAATAAAATTTATGGTTACAACCAGTAATTTCAGCAGCGAGATTATGAGACCTAGTTGCTAATCTAGAACTGTAATTACTGAGAGTGAAATAAACTGAGAAAACGTCATGGTGACAGAGGATATTAAAATGCCAGAATTCTAGGAAACAAAAGATGCGATTAACGTTGCCTTTAGATTTTTGAAGATTGAAATTGAGAGAAAAACAAGACGAAGGAAGTGGGTTTCATAAGCGAGAAGAATTATTAGCATATAACTTCCGGTTACAGATAGCAATTTCAACAGTATGTAGCCTAGTTACCAATCTGATACTGCGCTTAAATTCGTGAAGTCGAGGTACTAAAAAGGAAACCTCATCAGAACAATTACTTTGAAAATATTAATAGAAAAGGCAACGGGAAGCTTCGTTACGGCGGTGAGAAAGTGACTGAAGTCGAAGTGCCAGGTCAGGACCGATAATGTTGCGGATTCTTTTTTGGATTTTGTCAGGAATTTCTAGATACATCGAAGAAATTAACCAACACGACAGAGTAAACAGATTATCCTATCAGCAGACTTAGCAATTGATTCAATATAATCATTCCATTTCATTTTAATGAAAAATATTAAACCAAGAAGGCGCGGTGAGTTGCTCTCCTGGAGGGTAGCATCAGCCATGTTGATGGCAGGTAAAAATGTTTCTTTACGATGATTAATCGAGACCAGGTTGGTTTTAGAGGTGTCAAAATTAAAAAGCCACTTCTTGCCCCAGTTAACAACAGATTGTTGGTCATTTTCCAGATCAGTTGCCAATTTGATTATTATCGAGCCTATCAGATTTACTATTAAGATAGGAATAAATAATTACGTCAGTATAGATACTGAGTCGGGAAATGATGACATCAGGAAGTCAATTTTCATGAAACATAATCCAGGATTTAATAAATAAAAAGTAAAAATGAAAATCTGATATTAATTATAGATTTCTATATATAACCGATTAATGTACATCGTTCCTAAAATGAGTTAAATTATTCAGGTGGTGACCGGACATGTGAGTTTAAATCACACTGAGAACTACATTAGTCCTGGGTATGACGATAAACTACAACCGGCATCAAGGCCTCTGATCGGGAGATTGGAGGGTTTGATGAGTTTGGAACCATTTCTTAATTGCTGTTGTTCCCAAGTATACCCTGACCCGGCGTGGTAGTACCTGTTAGGGTCCCAGCTAAGGACAAATAGTGAATCATCAAACAAAAATCAAAACAATAAAAATAGTATAAAAATACATTTTTATAGTAAAAATATCAGCAATACGTTTTTATATAAAAAAATGACCAACGATCCGTATTTATAGTAAAATGACTAACAATAAATTTTTATAGAAAAATTGAAGACATGACATACATTGTCAAAGTATATAAATAAATATATAAATAAATACAATTTACTGGCATATATTGTCGAAATATATAAATAAATAAATACTATTAATATTATCATTAGCATTACCATCACCATCACCATTATTATTAATATTACCATTACCATCACCATTACTATTAATATTATCATTATCATTAATATTATCATTACCATTAATATTACCATTGCCATTACCATAAACATATCAATTACTATTAATATTACCATTCCCATTAATATTGCCATTACCATTAATATTACAATTACCATTAATATTATTATTGCCATTAACATTACTATTACTATTATCATTACCATTAATGTTACCATTACTATTAATATTACCATTACCAATAATATTACCATTAGCATTACAATTAGTATTACCATTACCATTAATATTACCATTATTATTACCATTAATGTTAATATTACTATTAATATTACCATTACCAATAATATTACCATTGCCATTAACATTACCATTATCATTATCATTAATGCTAACATTGCTATTAATATTACCATTGCCAATAATATTACCATTATCATTATCATTAATATTACCATTACCATTAATATTACCATTACCATTAATATTACCATTACCATTACCAATAAAATAATATTTTGATCGCCTTTTATTAATATTTATTTCATTTTGAAATATTACTATAAACTAAATAAATTATAAGAGAAAATATGAAAAGCAGAAGTGTTGACTTTTTTCCCAGTTGGCGTCATTGGATGCACGGGTAGCGTAACGGCTATCAGAGTGCCTAATAGAATTGACCGCACCAAGTTCAAATTCCCGTTCAGTCTGCTGTGTTTACTTTCGCATGATCGGAGATTACTTTTGGAGATTAACTTAGATTGTCTGTCAGGACGTCCGTTAGGTGGCGTTCTATTCAGGACTATAAAAGGAGGGAGATATGCCCTTTTTACTCCAAAATGTGATAGATAAAACACGTGTCCCATCTTTTTCTCCAGGGAAACTTAGTCGCATGGCAAGTCGACTACTTAATTTCAACCGAGCCACGTGACGTATACTCCTACATACGCCACGGCTAATCTCACAAGTGTTTTAATCTATCTATCTATCTATCTATCTATCTATCTATATATAATAATTTTCCTCGTCGTATTGAATTCGTTTCTTTTGAATTCATTTACGTTAACGGTTCTCTTCACAATGGTACTCCCGTTTCGTTACAAACTGGTGACTCGCAGCAATCTCGTCCATTAAAACCCTGTAACTCTTTGCTACAAACCCATCTCTTCTTCTCCGGCTACGTGTTAAATACCAGAACAGAACAGGGCTCTTTAGCCTTAGCTAGCAACCAATCTAGGAGAAGGAAAATTTTGAATTCCAAACCGTGGAGAATGCAACGGAAAACTACTCCACTATCATTTTTGTTTTCCAAAAAGTTATAGCAATTAACAGATAATTAAGAAGGAAGTCGTGGAGACCCATAACTGGGGCGTAACTTATAATTTTTTTTTCTGTAAATATTTTATGGTCAGGTGAAAACTAGACACAAATAAAAGTAAAAGTTTTACTGATATAGCCTTTACATTTCCACCCTGACTTCATGAACGTATTGAAAGATCTCGTTTGGTTTCTTAAGATAGGCGTGTGTCAACTAGTGTACATATTTTTCAGTGTGCATACTATGTGCTCTGATTGCTTGTAAGCCCCAACGTACAGAGATACCTATCTGTATCCCTCGGCAGTATAACCAGTCCCAGTCCCTAACTACTGCCCTTCCTCTTTCTTCTGCTGAATTTTTCGATTAGCTTAGCTTTCACGGGAGATCTACTGATTACTATCAGGCATCACGGCCCTATCTAAAAAACATACGGTTTTATCTGTTCAGCAGTTGGCGCACGTACTGTTTAAACCCGCTTATAATGCAAAAACTTCAAGTGCAATTTTGATATATATATATATATATATATATATATATATATTCTGAATAGAGCAAAATGAAAATGCAAAATAAAGACAAGAAAATGCAAAATAAAGACAAGAAAAAACAAAAAGAGAAAGAAAAATTATCAGCACCATCACTCCGATGACGGTATGTGGCCGTACGGTCGCTGTGCAGCAAAACACCTGACCAGTTCCTTCCACATGTCTAGGT